CCGGCAGCTGTGCAGCTGGCCACTTCACAGTTCTCGGGAAATGATGGCAGGATGTCCCAGCAGCTTCTGCGCCCTGATTGTGGGGCTGGTCTGAAATGGACCTTGTAATTCTGTGCACTTGCATTTGGCCCAATGCCCAGGAAACCTGATATGGAAATGAACCTGGTGTCTTCATTTACACTGAGCCCTGTCTGTACTGTACACACACGGAGGAAGGGAAAGCTGCCCCCAAAACATACATATAAAAACATGCACACACTGCCTGGCTAGCATGGCTCAGGGGTTGAGCATTGACTCATGAACCAGGAGGTCAAGGTTTGATTCCCAGTCAGGGCACACATGCCCAGATTGCAGGCTTGATCCCCAGTGTGGGGTGTGCAGGAATCAGCAGATCAATGATCCTCTCTCATTATTGATGTTTCCATCTCTCTCTCCCTCTCCCTTCCTCTCTGAAAATAATAAACATATATTTTAAAAAAATGTGCATACACAACACACACACAAAATACCCATAGCATATATAATACACACATAGCATATACGCAAAACATATACAACCACAAACACACAACACACAATAATATAAACACACAAAATACAAAACACATACACATAAAATACATAAACATTTTATGAAAATATACATGTACACAAAGTATATACACATAAAGCATATAAACACCTCCATACACACATACAAAAATAAGTGCACCAAACACACACACAGGCAGAAAAATATTGCATGTCAAAAGTCTGAATGGTTATAGCTCTGTAAATGGTTAAGGAGTGGTTAGATAAGTGAAAAAAAGATTTGTTAAATTAGATTCCTTAAAAGTCTTTAAGTCCTGGCCAGTTAACTCAATTGGTTAGAATGTTGTCCCAATAAGTTAAAATTTCGGGTTTGATAACTGGTCAGAGCACATAAAAGAATCAACCAATGAATACATAAATAAAGAACAACAAGTCTCTCTCTCTCTCTCTCTCTCTCTCTCTCTCTCTCTCTCTCTCTCTCTCTCTCTCTCCTCTCTCTCCCTCCCTTCTCTCTCTTTAAAATCTATCAATAAAAAAAATTTAAAATTCATTGTGTGATGCAAAATTTTCAAAAGTATGTAAGGAAGATATGTATATGCTTTGACCCAGCAATTACACTTCTAGGAATTTATCCCAGGAACATAGTGATATATGCAAAGGTTTAATACCAAGCATATTTAGCATGGCATTGTATATAATGTAAAAATGAAGACCTGAATGTTCAGAGATTAGTGTAATAAGGTTTATCCACAGGTGTCCTCTTCCTCAACCTCCAACAAATAAAAACGCAAATGAGCAAACAGAGAGCATCTGTTGTGCATCAACGGTGACCAGATTACCAGGTTACTGAGATTGTGTGTGGGGCACTACAGGGACTTCGCATCGAGTGCTCTACACCCACATCACACCCCTTGCTGAGGAGACCCCCCTCTCCACTCCCTCCCTCTGGAGCCCAGGGCAGGTCTCCATAGGCCCATTTCCTGCAGACCCCACAAGGCTCCTCCCACCCCATCTCCTCCTGGGCCCTGGGAACAGGAGTGCCTGCCTGGGAGGCAGGTTAGTGACGGTCTTGACTTTGCTTTTTCTTCATCTTTTCCTTCACTGTCTCATCCCCATCCCAAAGATTTATAAAGAAATTCTCCAAAGATTTCTTTCTTAGAAATTTAACAGACAAAACAGGGATTTTAATTCCAGCTCTCAAGGATATAACCTTTTTCCAGGCCTTTAACTGAAGAATGAAGTAGTTTGAAGCGATAAAAAAAATCCTGTTGTAGAACAATATTGATCACATGAAATGACTGGTGGTATCATATTGAGTAGAAAAAGCAAGATGCATTGTAGTAAGAAAGGCATGTTGCAAAAGGATCTACAGATCTACAGAACACCTTTCTGTCTGCATGTATGTAGATGTGTGCATGGAAAACCATAGAAGGAGAGGCCATTTAAGGGACGGAGCTGCCACACGCTCAAAAAGGCGCGTGCTCTAGTCCTGTGCTATTGGAAATAGGTGTGTGATTAGAGGTTATTGCTTAATCCCTTAACCTACTCTGTCTTTTGTCTGGAAAGCAATGAGGACAGTACCTCCCAGCAGATTGTCAGAGGATCAGAAAGATGAAGACAGAGGAGCCCTGGGCTAGGCCCAGGCCCAGCAGGTGCGAGCACACTTGGCCAAGACTGGGTGTTGCTTTGTTCTCGCATTTGGGGGTGCTGGTGGTGGTGCCCAGAAGTTGTGATCTTACTTGGCTGTGTGGACTTTGATCTGAATTGACTGCTGGTTTGGTGTTGTGAGGCTCAGCCATCCTTATGACTGGACAGGAGCAAATACAGCGCAAAGCACAAGGGAACACCCTGCGGGCTGTAGGGAGAAGCTGGTCGTTGGGGGAGCTTTGCACATTCCTGCTGAAGGAAAGGTGGAAGGAAGTGTTGGTGATGTCCTGGAGAGCATCCTGAAGAGAGATGCTAGGAGGGCTGTTTTCTTGGGAATGTGGGCGTTACACCTGGGACTGGGGCAAAGAACCCACGTGAGGGCAGGGACTTGCTGCGGCACCGAGTCACTGCCTGACCATCTTGTGTCTCCTTTTTCTTCCCTCGGGTCTCGTCCCCTCCCCTCTGTTGTGGGCGGACATGGCAGCCCCACCGTCTGTCTTGAGCACCTTGAAATGTGTTGCAGGGAGGTGGCCCAGTCCTTGGCAGAATGGCACTGCCCTGTAGGAATTTTGCTTATGTGCACACATTGCAAAATGGCCCTCGATGATGATGATGATAACTTAAGATGCTGTTATCATTGTCTAAAGGAATGTTGTTGTGGCTTTTGTATATATACTCTCAAACTTTATTTATACCAAGGGTAAAGCCTGGTTCCGCCACGTCAGAGATTCTGAGGACAAAGACCAGAGCTCCAGGGGCCCAAGACAGAGACACAGATTGAGGAGATCCAGGTAGGTGGTCCTCACCCCCAGCCCCTCCCTGGCACAAAGGGCCAACAGACAAGATAGGGAACCAGATGCCCTCCCAAACCCTCTGCTGTTTCAGCCACGCAGCCACGTGCTGTCTCCTAGGACGGCTTCCCCAAGGAGCAGGGCCTTGCTGCAGGGCCAGGCCCACATGGAGCTTAGGATACATCAGGGACATGCTGATACTGGGTCCGGAGGCTGAACTGATTTCCAAGTCTGGGAAGCACTGGACTTCAGAAAGAGTTACTGGGTCCCCACATTTTGAGTGTCCCTAGGTGGGAAGAGAGGGATCTCAGATGCCTAACACTCTGCTTCTTTAGGGAGTCTTGTGGACCCCTCTTGATGTAGGTGGCCCCCATAAGCAGCTTCCAGAGATACCAGAGGCCTCCCTCCTGGGCGTCACCCTGTTCTCCCCAGCAGTACACATTTGGGCACCCACATTTCTGCTAGACACCTCTTGTCTGGTGGCCCGTGGCTGCTAAATTCTCTGCTTTCTTCTCTGTGTCCCTTATTTACCCCCCAAACTGCAAAGGTAATTGGGCTCTGTGGGTTCAGGGGATGTAGACAGAAACCAAACATAAAACCAAATAGCAGATACCTGTGCATCCCTTAAAGCCCCTCTAGGCACCCCACCCTAGGGCCTCAGTGGCCATCCTCAACTTTCCCTACAGTCCTGGCTGCCGGGCCCTGGAGTCCTTCCTTTTCATGGTTATTTTTTTGCGAAACTATTTACTTCCCTCTGTCACACGCCGAAGCCATTCTTGGAGGTTTGGTTTTTCATGTAAACTGACCATCTACAATGTTTTAAAAAATATATAGTTTATTGATTTTGAGAGACAGAGGAAGGGAGAGGGAGAGAGAGAAACACTGATCAGCTACCTCCTACCAGGGATCAAGCCCTCAACCTGGGCATGTGCCTGATTTGGAATTGAACCAGCAACCTTTTGGTGCATGGAAGGGCAACCAGCCCACGGAGCTACACTGGCCAGGCCCCCTCTGCAATCTTAACAGTGGTGTGGTCCTTGAGAAGTCACCTCAGGATTTTCTTCTTGAAAAATCTTTATCTTGAAGATTTTCAAGAACAAGAATTCTTGCCTCTGCCCTCACAGTGCTGTCATGAGCTGACCTGGGGAAGATTCTGTGTGAACTGAGTGAGAAGTGATGCATGATATTGGGGAAGAGGGGTCCCTGTGTCAGCCTCCTTAACACAGCAGGAGCTGAGCCTCCTGGGAGAGTTTGGAGGCTCCATTTTTCATGACAAGAGGCTGAAAAGAAACTGCTTTTCTTTGCAAAGCTTTGACTTCAAGGAGGTTGGGGGTGTGTGTGCATGTGTGTGATTTTTTTTCTGTAAAGGTTGGGACAGTCAGCATTATAGGCTTTACCAGTATCCTTGAATACTCTTCTCTGATGTGTAGCTAGAGAGCATTCACAGATGACATACAGATGGCTGTGTTCTAATAAAGCTTTATTTAAAAACAAGAGTGGCCCCTGGCTGGGGTGGTTAGAGTGTCATCCCAATATGTCAAAATTGCGGGGTAGATCCCCAGTCAGGGCACATATAAGAATCAATCAATGAATGTATAAGTGGAACAACAACTTGATGTTTCTATATCTCCCTTCCTCTCTTTCTCTCAAACCAAACCAAACCAAAGTGGATGACTTGGCCTATGGACTATAGTTTGCCAGCCCTAGGATTCGAGCAATGCATCTTGAACTGTCTATGTCATTTTTATAAAATGTTGTCAAGATCCATAAAAATGGTATTGTGACCCACAGGTTGGAAAGCGTCACTTTAAAGGGTGGAAATCAAAGGAGCGCTGGAGGGAAGAGCACGGTTAGCCGGGCAAGGCCGCCCAGATGCCACTAACAATTAGGGGCAGAGAGGGCGGCCAGTGGCCTGCTGCAACACTCAGGGCGTTGGCAAGGTGTCCTAGGTCAGGTGCTATGACAGTGTCCTTTCTGTCTCCCAGGTCCTGCCCTTCACCCCAGGCTCTAGGTCATTTCATCACCCTGAATATGTCCTGTCAGGCGGAGTGCGCAGGAACACAGGTGGACTCTGCAGATGGGGAAGAGGTCGAAGCTCAGGGCTGCGCAGGTGAGGTGCTTGTGAAGATCTGCCTCCACTCACTACCCCCACCTCCACCCCCTTTGAGCAGCAGTGCACAGGCCCCTGCCTCCGGGACCCTGCATGGGTGAATTTGAGGACAGAAATCCTCAAAGGGAGATGAAACTTAGTCACAGGAGACCAGGCAGCTGGAGGTGGATAAATGGGTCAATTTCATCAGCAGCTCAGGGCATGATGTCCTGACTTTCCATCGTCATCGGATGATTTTGAACCCTCCACTGGTACCTGTGCCCTGCCTGCCGAGCCCAGCCGGGGAGGGGCCTGTATGGGGTCTCTGTGTCTGGGCGGCCAGTGACCCAGCGCTTCTGAGCACTGGGCACTGGCTCAAGGGAGACATTAAAAGCAAAACACTGACTCCCGTGGCTGTCCATTGCGCGGGTGTGAGGGGAGGGGCCTGGAACGTGTCAGAGGCCACATCCCTGAGCTGTGGACTCACAAGTGGCCGTCACAGTTGGAAGCTAAAATCAGAACGTTGGTCTTACAACTGCGGGTCCACTAAGGGTAACAACGGGAGATTGGGACGTACCCACTCCTGGCGCAGAGCTGCGGGTGGCTCCTGTGGTGCAGGGAGTGGGCGCTGGGCCTAGGAACTTGGAACTGTGACACTGAGCCATGTCCTGCACTGCCTCTGTCATCTGTGCCCTCTGCTTCTCGGAAGCCTGGGGCTGCCAGAGCCAGGGACATGTGGAGTCATGTAGGGACACTAAGCCCCGTGCGCCCTGAATTTGGTTCCTCTGGCGGGTGCCCCTCAGGCTTGGTGAGGGATGCTCTGCCCTGAGCTGTGCACATGCTACAGTGGGTTCAGCACTCAGGTCCAGTTCCCCTCAGTTCCCCAGCATTTTCGACCAGAAAAGCTATTTTTAATGTCATCACTGCCTCTCTTCTTAGTGTTGTGAAAACACACACAAATAAGGAAGGCATTGAATGGCCCCTGGTGCTCCTGGCCCCCGACACACCCTACCTCACTGTCTCTCATTCCAGATCCAGCCCACGGGTCCATAGAGCCCGGCCCGAGCCTCACCTCCGTCAGCTTGGCCAATGCAGGTAGGGCTGGACCTGGACGGGATGGGATCGGGAGGGTACCTCAGGGCTCGCTCAGGGGAGGGGGAGAAACAGATGGGGGATACCTACGGGTGCCGGGTGGGGCTGATACTTCTTTGTAGAAGTTCATCTCAGCAGGGCCAATAGGAAAGATGGGCTTTGGTTTCTGCAGAGAGAGGAGGGCCCACAGACCTCTGAGTGGCTCTGGAGAAAGAATGCTTTGAGCCTGGGAACCTTCCAGGTTCCTCTTCTGACTGTTGCTGGCAACCGTGACTTCCCCACAGCACCCATGAAAACCAGGAACTGGGCAGGAGGGATATGGGGGACCCACACCACGAGTGCCCCGGGCACACTGAGCTAGGACCCATTCCACAATAACCCAGGTGAAATGTTAGCATCACTACGTGCTCGGTGCAGACACTGAGGGAGAGAAAGGGCTCCCTGCCCAGGCGTGCAGGGAGTGAGCGACCAGTGCTGGGGTCTGAGGAGCTAGTCAGGTTTCAGGCTCCCACAGCCCTCGCCCAGGCACAGGGCAGAGTCAGGAGCTTGTGGCCTGAGTCCCAGCTCCACTGCAGGCCATGGGGGCACACGAGCCTCAGTCCCACCTGGGGAAAGGGCAGTGAGCCCCTCAGGAGAAGAGGTGCACTCGGTGCCAGGATGGCCCCGTTCCCTGTGAGCCACACTGCTGCTGCCTCAGGGATTTGGTTGGGTTTGGCTCCGTGGGTGGAAGTGTCTGCTCCTGCAGGTGCTCCCACCCACCTCTGGTTGTGGTCCCTGGACCAGCAGCAGCAGCTCCTGGGAATCTGTGGGGAATGAAGCGTCTCTGGCTCCATGTAGACTCTCACATTGGGTACTCGGGGTCTGAGACGCAGGAGGCTGTTTGCGCAGCCATCAGGGTGACTGCACAGCAGTGGGGGCCACAGCTCGGCAGGGAAGACATCAGCCCTTGGAAGATGATGCCTCTGGAAGGACATCGGAAGGATGGATTGGGATCGGGAAAGATGGGCGAGAGGACATCACAGGCCGGAATGGAGATGGGGGCCCATGCCAGGCGGTAGCAGGAGGGAACAGAAGTAAGAGGGCAGAATTAGGAAATACAGGGTGTCCCAAAACGTATGCACACTTTAGCGGATGATAGTTCATTTTGAAAATGAAATCTATTTTAATAATCACTGCCTTCATTATTATTCAAAGTGTGCGTGCATTTTTGGGGTTACCCTATATTTAAGAATTAAAAGGCATGATGTTAGTGCTAGAAATGCAGCTTACATAGCTTGTCTGGGTGTCACTCTGGACCAATCGAATCAGACTCTCAGGGTGTGAAGCCCAGACACCCATGGTCTTAAAATATCACCCACCAGGTGGTCCAATGTGCAGCCAGATGGCACTCAGACCAGCAACAGTGCCAGCCCCGGGGCTGATGATAAGGCAGAGTTGAAGGTGAGGTCAATGTTTGAGAAGTTGGAAGGTTTAGAGTTTATCTAGTTCCATGATTCTGAATCAACCTGCATCAGTCCCATGAACTCAGAATGTCTACGGGGGTAAGGGGGGGTGTAGAGGTGCGGGGGGTGGTAAGAGGGAACGGGGAGAAGGGCAGAAAGCTCCTGGGAGATTCTAGTGTAAGCTGGGCTGTGACCCTTGAACCTCATGTGACCCCTGGACCTCACATGACCCCATGTCATTGCAGTTACTTAGGGTCTGGCCTGGGCCACCTACCCTGTCATAAGCATCGAGGGTCCATGACCCTTGGGGCACTACACTGCGGCCCAGAAGGACTGTGCCAGGCCAGACAGCTACCTGCACTCAGGACCTTCCAGTGCTGTAGGGAGACGAGTCAGGAACACCAGCCCTGTGCCACAGGTGTGCCTGCAGAGGACTGTGACCCTCCAGGGAGGAACCCTCCACGCAGCGGGGCTGAGGAGGGATCCAGGGAGGAGGCAGAGAGCCAGGGTCACAGGAAGAGTCCCTGTTCCCAGGGCGGGAGGAGACTGACAGTCTTACTGGTGGGAGGAGAGTGAGGCCTCTGAGTTCATCCCTGGGTGTAATGACGTCACAGATAGTTACACGACAGCATCACTCGGTGCAGTGGTCACTGTGCTGCCCTGCCTGGCATTTCACAGCCGCCATCCATTGGCCCACTGTGGGCGCCTGCCCCCACCCACCAAGTGCCTGAGCCCCGCAGTAGGGAGGTGTCTGCGGGCAGGGCTGTCTTGAAAGCTCTCTCAGGAGCCCTGCCCTGGGGACGTGCCCTGGCCACCCACGGCTGCGGTTGGTCCTGCCCATTCAGGCAGGTTCTTCGAAGGCCAGGCTCAAGTTCTGCTGCTTTCTGATGAGCCTGCAGGGCCAGCTGGTCTCACCATGTGGCCTCCTGTGCTTCCTGTCTCCACCTCACACTCGCCACTGCCCCTCCATTGGCCCTGCAAGTGCCATGATGGCTTCCCCCAGGGCACTGCTGGGTGCAGAAGAGGGGTTAAGAAGAATAACGATGAACATAACGATTAACAGCTCTCTGTCTGAGTTCTTTCCATACTCAGACACCTCGCTAAGTGTGGTTCATTTATGTAACATTTTAATCCTGTCAATACCCCTGCGAGGTAGGTGCTGTTCTTACCCCATTTTATACTTGAGGACATGGAGGTTGGAGAGATTAGGTGACGTCTGCTATGTGCTGGAGCAGTGAGTCACAGAGCTTGGAGCTGAACCCATGTGTCAAAATTGGGAACCCATGTGCTCTCACATGTGCTGAATTGCTGGTCTGGAGCAAGGCAGGGAGCCTGGGGTGGGGAGGTCTTCAGGGGGCTGATCTCTGAGCCCACAGGCAGGAAAGGGGCTGGGCTGGGACCCTCCCTCTGGCCTAAGAAGGATTGAGTTTTCCATTTTCAATGTGAAGTGTTGACATCTGGTTTTATTCATCTAGATCCAAAAGTGAAGTACCCAAAACCACAGACATTTACCTTTCATGACTGTGACCAAAAAGTATTGGTGCTGAACAAAAGGACACTCATAGCAGTTCACAAAAAACCCAACATACACCCAGGTGACTTTCTTTCTCTCTCTCTCTCTCTCTCTCTCTCTCTCTCTCTCTCTCTCTCTCTCTCTCTCTGTCTCTCTCTGCTGTTTTCTGTCCCCCAAGTCCTTCCAGCTGGGGCTCAACTCAGGCTGTAGAAGGACACCTCCAGCTCCAGCAGGGGCAGGCAGTGGGCAGAGGAGCCCTGGGGACTGCTGGGAATGCAATGGTGGAGTGGAGGTCCGTGAGGGCGCAAGATCTGAGGGGAGTCTTTCTGGTCTGTGGGGGAGGAGGAGGCTTGCACCAAGTGAAGGAGCCTGCAGCCCCACAGACAGAAGGCTCATCCCTGCTCTGAGAATGACCCTGTTTTTTGTGACTGTCTTTTCCCAGAGACCTTCTATGTCTTAGCCGCTCGCACGAGCTCAGCGGATGACAAGGAAAACCTCGTTTTCCTGGCAGTCTCAAAAGGAGAGCTCTGTCTTTGCTGTGAGATGGATAAGAAGAAAGGCCAACCGGTCCTCCAGCTGAAGGTGAGCATGCCCACCCAGCGTCCTGTCCTCTGAGCCACTCCAAAGGGAAAGGGCAGGCCTGGCAGTGCCACTCACTCCCCACTACACTTCTCCCTTTGGCCGGCACCACAGGAGCCCCCTGGGGAAAGCCAGGAGAGAGCTGCTGGCCCTCCTTGGCCCTGGGCTCCAAGATCCCACAGCTGAGGTTTCCCTGGAGAGAGGCTGAGCTGCTGACCACTCCCTTCTACCTCACAGGAGCAGAAGCTCAGCTGGCTGTCTAACTCAGTCACAAAAGATGTGAAGGGCTTCACCTTCTACAGGAGGGATAGGGGCTCCCGGCACGCACTGGAGTCTGCGGACCACAAGGGCTGGTTCATCAGCACCCGCCATGAGAATGAAGCTGTCAGAATGACAGACAAGCTTGGGGGAGAGGAGTTCACCGACTTTAAATTTATGGAAGTCAGCAACACTCCAACAAGCCCCAGGGAGGTCAGCGAGTAGGACATAATCTCGATAACTTTCTAGTTTTCAGCTGCTCAGAAAATAAAGAAATAATACCGGAAAATTAAATGCTTCACTTTAAGAGAGTAGGCCTTTACTGCTTCACATAGTCAGATCTTCATTTTTGTCATCTGCATTTAGAAGAACATTTCCCAGTAAGTTGCACTGAAAATCCACAAAAATTAAGCATGTGGTGAAAAAAAATGTACCAATATGCATTTCCTGCATTCCCTGCTAAATATAATACTTTCATGTAGTCAATAAAGATCTGAGTATGTTACAAAACCTGTTTGGCTCAGTGGGTAGAGTATCAGCCTGCAGGCTGAAAGGTCCCAGGTTCGATTCCTGTCAAGAGTGGTTGCAGGCACATCCCCAGTAGGGGGCATTCGGGAGGCAGCTGGTAAATGTTTCTAACTCTGTATCTCCCTTCCTCTCTGTAAAAAAAAAAAAAAAAAAAAAAAAAAAAAAAAAAAAAAAAATCAATAAAATATATTAAAAACCAAACAAAAGCTAATTTGCAGAAAGTACAAAGACCAAAAGTTTACTTTAATTAATCAACTAAATTTGATTTTGTCAAACTATTTTTTGCATTTACGAAATAGCTTTAGTTACTAGATTTTGGCAGGTTAATATTAGAAGTTGGTAATAAATATACATGTACATGTGCACTGAACTGTAAGATAAAATGTATTTCAAAGAGTGCACTGTAGTAAAAAAGAAGTTTGAAAAGCACGATTTCCTGGTTATGAAAGAGGTCGGCTCCGTGGGAACCTACAGAGCTTACTTATTAATAGTTTAGCAACTTGGCCCAGGTGTGGGCTCTGAGGTTGACACTCACCATCACTCAATGTCTCTTGGTGTCATGGCGCCCTCTGCTGGTCACAGAAAGCAGAGCTGATGGCTGCTTTCAGGCCTTTTTTCTCTGTCTCCCCTTCCTCCCCACCTTGCCCAGGACAGGTGGTAGTAAAGGTAACTCAAGGTCTCTGGATGCCCAGGCAGCTGGGCCTTCTCTGTAGCAGGACCCAAGAGGATGGTTCTTTAAGGGGTTTGCGATGAGCCAAACACTTTCATTTGTGAACCTAAGGTGAGCAAGGAGGTGAACAGCATCAGCTTATAACAAACAGATCTTGGGGTCTCACTACAGAGCGTTCGGGGTGGACAGTGTGGAGGGCTGTACTCAGGGGAGTGGTGTGAAGGAGAGGAAAGTGAACAGCCAGGAGCAGCTATGGCCTACAGGAATCCAGGTGAGATGTGCCCTCGAGCCCCAGGTGGGGTGCCCTGTCTTCTCCTGCCCTACACCTGTGAGACCGATCCGGTGGCCAGCTTCCAAGGGCTCCTGTCCTGCCTCCTAGTTGTGGTCAGGCCACAGGAGATCAGAGAAAGGGGAGAGTTAGGTTAGTGTAGCCCCCTCACCAGCTCCAGTCCTCTCCTACCCCATCACGGCCCACCCCCTGCTCCTTCCTGTCTGGAGGAAGTGATGGACTTCAGCATGGCAGCTGGTCCTTCTTCATCTCCCAGAATTTCTCTGGACTGGCCTGCACTTTTCGCACACTCCCTCACACCCTGTGAGTGTGCCCCTGTCCCTAGCCAGGGCACACGCCTAAGAGCTTGCACTTTATTGCCTCAGCAATAGGGAGTCATTGAAGGCTTTAGAGAACAGTGCAAGAGCAGATGTGTATTCTGGAAAACTCTGTCTGACTGAAGAGAGCAGGATGGCCTGAATCAGTGAGGGTTGGAGGCAAGTGAACCAATAACAGGCAGCAAGGGGAATCCAGGTGACACACAGTAGTCTGGGGGTCTGAGGGTTAGGAATGTGGAAAAGCTGAGCCATCAAATGAGCAGGCCAGCTGTACATATTCCTTGATAAGTAACTTAAAAAAGCTGGGAACTCAATGTTTTGTTTTTGGGGGTGCAAAAATCAGTGTGTTAAACGTGTCACACACAGGGGCAAATTTGCCCTGTCTCTCAGCCCCCGTCCCATCCGCACAGGCTGGGAGAGTGGCTGGGAGTCGGCCCTTCAGTACACACAGTTCCTGGGTCTTTCTAGCCCCACAGTTCACTCTTAGACTAGTGTCCAACAAGTGTAATGTGAGGTACAAGTGTGAGCCATGTAGGGAATTTAAAAATTTTTGGTAGGCATATTAATAAAAGTACAAAGAAAGAATGAAATTTAAAATACCGGTGTTCAAAGATCTCTTAAAACTCATTCATATGAGAACAAACAACCCAAAACTGGGCCAAAAAAATTGAACAAGACACTTACCAAAGGAGATATGCTTAGGAAAAGATGCTCCACATCCTGTCATCAGGAAAACGCAAATTAAAAAGCAAGGGGATAGCACAATGTACCTATCAGCATGGCCCAAATCCAGAATACTGACAATACCCAATGCCGGTGAGGTTGTGGGACAGTATTGCTGGTGGGGGTGCAAATGTTATAGCCACGTTGGAGACGTCTGGCAGTTTGTTTTTAACAAAGCTAAACACAGTCTTGGCATATGATACAGCAATGGCACTCCACACAAACATTTGCAAGCAAATTTTTATAGTAGCTTTATTAATCATGGCCCCAACCTAGAAGCCATCGAGCTGTCCTTCAGTAGGTGAATGGACATAAAGCTGATGCCCTTTGATATTTTGCTTGGAGTACAGAAAACATCTCATAACCATGGAGGAAGAACCTGGACCTGAGATGTCCTTTTATATTTCGCTTGGAGGAGGGATCGCAGCTCTGACCCATGGAGGAAGAACCCGTGGAGTAAAGGCTCAGACTCTGCCGATGTCTTCCAATCACCCTTCAGATCTGCAGGAAGGACTCCCATGGAAGAGGGGAGTAAATTGGGGTTTTTATCCCCGGTGACTTTCCTGTGGGGTCACCCAGGATGAAGACCTGTCTCCTATCTAGTGGTCCTCCCCACAGAGCTATCTCTGATCTGGCAACCACTCTCCTCGTGTCCCCTCAGGCCTCCTGGCGCTAAGGGGCGTGACAACTTCATTGTCACTAGCCCTGGGTTCTGCACTCTGTCTTGGGGTTTCCCTATACTTTTCCCATGTCTTTGCCCAGATAACTTCTACTTCACAATTCCTTCTACTTTATTAGTTGTGACTGTCAGCTTGGTTACACAGATAAGTTATTATAGAAATTGAGCCTCCATGACAGATCCTGGAGATTCCAGTGGTGAATGGTCACCATCTCTCACCTCACCTGGTTCCCACGGGTGGTCCCTCAACTAAATGACTCCTGTATTACCCTTAACTCCAATTGCCAGGTTTGAATGTCACATTTCTTGCTAGAGCTCCACTGACACACATGCCGCCCAAATTGGCTCAGACAGGCATGGAAGGCTTTGGGAGCCTTCTTCCTTGCACCATGTAAATGAGCAAGCAGTTCTGACCACCACAGGTAACATCTTACAGATGTGGAGAAACTGGTCTTAAGTGACGAATGTCAGTTTAGGGAGTTAGAACAATGCTGCTCCCTGCTGACATCATGTAACTATTTGATCAGCAACCCTGGTCCTCTACCACTTCTGAACTTCCAATGATGTGCTCTAAATACTGTTTTTGTTTTGTCCACTTTGAATTTAATTTTCTCAGCGTTTGAAGTGGAGAGTTACTTAACATGTAGGTTCATTTTAAAAAATACATTTTTATTGATTTCAGAGAAGAAGGAAGAGGTAGAGAGAGACAGAAACATCAATGATGAGAGAGAATCATTGATCGGCTGGCTGCCTCTTGCATGGCCCTTATTGGGGATCAAGCCCATAACCTGAGCATTTGCCCTTGACCAGAATCAAACCCAGGACACTTCAGTCCTCGGGCGGATGCTCTATCTGCTGAGTCAAATTGGGTAGGGACACTTTAGGTTTTTAATAGCTTTGTGAAACTGTTTCCTCATCCACACTATGACTGTTTTCTCACAACATTGCCTACCACCTTTTTAATTTGTGCCTCCTGTGACCAGAAACTGAATCTCATTATTGCTTTGATTTGAATTTTGCTAATTACTAGTATAGATAACTGTAATCACTTCTATTTACTGGATATTTATATTTTCTTCTCGGTGGAATGCTTTTTGCATCTATTCCTCATTTTTCTATAGAATTACTTGTATTTTCTTTATTGGTGAGCTGAAACAACTTTAAAACTTTGGGTAGTGATTGTTAGCTTGTTAGATGCATTGCAATTTTTTTCTCCCAAGTACCTTAGTTTTTAACTTCATTTCATGATGAATTTTGTCCAACATTCTACAGTGTTGATGGTGTTCAGTTTCTCACTTTCTCATTCATGGCATGTGTATTTTGAGTGATATGGCTCATTGAGGTAGGGCCAAAAGTTGTCTGTCATTTGGCTTTTTGTCCAGGAATTTTAAACTTTAGGCATTAATCCTATAACCTTTCTTTAAATTTTGTAGCATGAGCTGAGCAATTAAGGCTTTAGCTATTTTTTTTTTTTTTTGGTTGCACATAAGTGTCTAATTTGGTCAAAAGCTGTTTTAAATTTAGGGAAATGTATCCTTATGGTGGTCCTGTAGAGTTGGCTTCTTTTGTCTTAATGGTTTTAAAGCTTCTGTCATTTTGGTGAGTAATTTATGGGTCATTTTTGTTAATTAATCCTTCATTTTTCCACGAGGGAGAGGATGTTAAATAGCATGTTGGCTCACACCCTACAATCTGGGTTTCACGGAGAGACTGGCTTCAGGAAGATGTGATGGTACAGCCCACAGGGCAGTAAGGCATATGCGATTGGCTTGGGGTGCCTGGGAGGGGGCAGAGATTTGGTGCATCTACATCCCCCACCTCCACTGGTAATGGCTGCCCTGCACAGGCAGCTAGGATTTCCTTGGCATTTCCCCAAACATCTAGAGTTCAAAGGGCCCATGCTCTTCTCTGTCGTTCACAGTACACATCATGTTGCCCCCTTGGTTGAACAGAAGTGGGTACCAGTTGCCATGCCCAGGCCAGACCCCCACCTCTGCTTGCAGGTTGCCCAGGATAGGA